CTCCACGGTAACGAGGTCCAATCCTGGGGCTGCCTGGTGTCGACGCTGTTTCTGTGATAGTTCTTGGCTCTAAGATTATCTGGCGTCAAGGGAGTTAGTCAAGGCCCTGATTAGTAAGTAAGCTTCGGCATGTTCCAGAAGGTCCCAACCTTGACAATGCGCAAACTTCAGCCCAGTGCGTAACAAAGCTATCACCCATTTGGCGCCTGACTGGGATTCACCTCCACGGTAGGTCCCCAGCTCTGAACTAGTTGTTTGAAGCACATACAATGGCCATGTGCTTGCCTTGAGGTCAATGCAATATTGTTCTGCTTTTGAGCAGAAGTCCGCTTTGGTATCATTAAAGATGCGAAAACGATGATCAAATACGACGAGGGCCCTGCGTTCGCACGTCACCATCCGTTCGCCGCTTGACTAATTGGTCAAGCATTATAATGCTCATCAATGTCTCTCCACGAATGTGCATGGCGAGTACCCGTACACACGACTGGTAACAGCGATTCTCTTTTCGGTGGGCTAGAGGAAACTGTGCGGTCCCGCTTCAGATGTACCCGCACGAGGCAAGCAGATTCAACGTAATTTTACAGTTTTCAGATTCAACGCAAAAATTTTACAACATAAAGTTTTAAATATTTTACAGATTTCAGATTCAACGTAAAAATAGTCTCGTGTACATAAGGACAGTACACAAAGCTTTCGAGATTTCGGGGAATGGGATTCAGACGCACTGGAATGGGCAGGAAATCAGTTCTGTTCCACTCCATCGTGGACCTCGCCGAGTGGGAAGTGGACGATGGGTTGCGGGCACTCAAGGGAGTCCTGATCACTGTACGCAACTTCCATTGTGCTGCCTGGGTGTCATAATGAGCCTCGAAAACGTAAAATCAGCCGCAAAAATAGCTTCTTTTGCAAATTCACGTTTCTACGCGTAAAACCGTACTTCCTCTGCCCCAAATTAATTGCAGTTATGAATTGGGGCCCTTTTTAAACCTATTAAAACATCGGAAATTTCATCAAAACTTGCCACAATGCTGTAATTTGAGTGTGTTTTGTGATCTCAAACTTTTCAGTCAATCGGCAAAGTATTGATTCCGCAGCGGCATTTCAAACAGATGCCACTCAGTCACGTGTTTCAAGGTGGCTCCGAGATGGCCTGTTTTCGGGCCGTGGACCATGCCGCCCTGCCATGGCCCCACCACGCAAAGTGATGAGCATTAGAGATTCACATAAAACAGCGGGTCAGAGCGTAGATACGGAAGTGGAGGGTTGGCCACCAGCTCGTCCCCAAAAGTATGATCAGGAATCTCGCCCATCTCTTGCTTTCATTGCCATTCCTTGAATTGTGTGCCCGTTGTGCAACAAAATCTCTTCTAAACTCACTGCGACATGCTCCCGCCATGTTTTAGGACGTCCAACTTGATGTTCATGGGATCAATTCATTCCCGCGGGATCGTCGGTCGCGTTCCGGAACTGCTAACCGGTGGCCTCAACTTTTTGGCACGAAGCCATGAATCTAAGGGCGAGATCTTCGATCACGCCTTTCGGGATGCGCCGGTGGCCTTCCCTCCGCCTCAATATGTCTCCTGGACCCTGCTATCTGAACGGCTCCTGTAACTCCCGTCATTTTGCGCGGTGGAGGCCACCGCAAGGTCCAGGGTCGGAAAACAGGCGGTTTCACGGCCACCTTGAAAAACGGGGGTGTTCTCGAAAAAATTGTACAAATGACACTACTGATGGAATACTTAGAAGATTGAATCAAAATTTTGGCATCATAAATCAGACTAAAATTACAATATATTGACAATTTGGTGTAAATCTGAGATGTCTTAGCAGGTTTTCTAGCGCTACACTTCATAACTGCCATTTAATTTGGGACGGAGGAAGTAAACGTAAGAAAGTAAACGTAAATAACAAGCCTTCAAGCGCGTACACTTGCCTGCCCAGTCAGAACCATATAAGCTATAGCTAACGTTTTGAAATAGCTAGCCAACTGTTAATCATATTAAGGCAAAACGGCTTCAAGCACGCATAGAGATGGATCAAGACCTTGTCGCTGACAATTTTCAGCTTGCCGTTCCCTCGAGGACGTCCAAGACCGCATCCTTTCAGGGTGAGATTGGGTGAGATTGGGGTGAGATTATTGCCCTGTCAAAGGGCTACAACCAGGCTTGGTATTCAAGGCGCAAACACTTGCCCATTTACGGCTATTTTACGTTTCTGCACGTGAATAGCTGTACAAAGGCGCAAAGACGGGACCAGTGTGCTTAAAGACAGTGCATACAGACTCGCGGAGTCCCGGGGGTGGCAGCTATACGCGCGAAAGTGAACAAACATATGCGTTTATTAAGGGATCTTTTGCTCGTCGACGTCGTCGCAATTGCTGAGGGAGAGGTGTGCACTTTATTGCCGGGGCTGGAATGATCCGGTGATTGATCGCTGATTGGAACATCATCATGTATTCTAGGCCTGCCGAAGAGCCGTAAATATGCATAAGTATAGCTGTAAAATGGTCGTCTTTGTTTATGCGTTTTTACGCGTAAAACATAAACACGAAAATTGAGCAGCAAACGTAAAAACCTTCAACTTGAAGTAAAGAGCCTACCGACAACGTGGTCGAACAAACGGTCTTGGAGCCAGAGCCGCCGATGCTGACGTGGTTGCAACATCTGCGCTGCACGCCATCGCTCATGAGCTCATCAACACTCGCGACCAAGAGGAGCCGCCCCGAGCTGCTGAGGTAAGCAGGGAAAGCAAGGGCGGCAACCAGCGAAGCAAACACTAGTAAGAAAAGGCCAAAATACGCGGTTTCGAAAATCGCGTACAGTGTAACACGATCGGAAGTCGTATAACAATATCGTGTATCTTTCTTGTATGTATATACATACGATATACCGTACTATCTCCTTTTCGAAAGTCGTGTCCGATCTCGAATTTTGCCTAGAACTTGGCAAGGCCAACTGAATCAATGAGTCTGTCAGTTTATTTGGATCCTTTGGTTGAATTTAGATTGATGTGGATCTCTCTATGTTAGTCACAACCACACAACACGGCGCTTGACAACCTTTTCAATAACGCCCCTGTTCAATTCCATGCAGGCCCCCAGTTCCCCGCATTGTCGCATTGGCCATATTCCGGTATGTTCCAGCCCAATGCACCAAAATTCATTGCGAACCTTGTTGTAGATGACACGTAGGTACTGCTGCACCCTTTTAACGTTTTTATGCCATTGCTATCACACTTTCTGGGGACCATCTCTTCCAGCATGCTGAATCGTGCTGCCTATATTCTTGTTTACAACAATTGGTCGTGTTTGCTTCAATCTAGGGCGTTTTCTAGGTTGGTGCAAGCATGTGCGGCCTTCAAGACCTCGGCACATCTGAAAGAAAAATGATCTTGCAATGATCAAGGTGTCTCTTGGCCTTCCACCATCACTTGGACGCAGCTGTTGTTATTACCACAAATTTCGTGAAACCCAAATCATTTTCCTTGCAGTTTCTGTTTGGAATCAAGCCGGATGTTTACGGGGCGTCAAGCCACCAAAGCATATATCTCTCGTTGTGATAGCTCAGATCAATCCAGCTCTTCTTAAGGGCAAGGAAAACATGTTGTATCCCATCCAATTCCCGGAAAAAAATGGAAAATCGTGTTTCAGCTCCTCTTCACATATCGCAACAACGGCAGCAACATTTGGAACGTTTGAGGGCTCTACGAGTAGCTCTTGATATGACGCTTCGAAGTCGTTTCGGTCAAATTTTCTGACTCGCACGTTTTGGCCTCCGTTTGGGCAGAGCTGAGATCGGACACGGCTTATGAAACAGAAGTAGTATGACAATGGGACCAAACCGTGTAGCAACGATTGAGTGAGTGTACATGATTTTTGCACGTTTTGACACGGTTTTACACCTTTCGAAGCCGTGTACTTAGCCCGATGTTTTACTTGTGAAACGCGGGGTGGCTCACGCTGCAAGTCCTTGCAGAGCATAAACACGCGTAACTACGCCTGTTGATGGAAAGGGCATGATCACGCGTGAGTGTGCGTTTTAAATGTAAGCATGAATAGCTGTCAAGCCTGGCGACTCAGCACGCAACACTGCTAGTACTTAAACTTTGCACAACCGGATTGATTGATACATACTTCAGGTACTAGTTTATTTCTTGGAGTCAAGGGCCTGAGCTACTAAAATTCTCGGCGCTAAACCAGAAAGTGTCATGCACTGTGTTGATTTGCACCCCAACCGCTCTGACCGATGACTGCGACGCGTCCCAGGCCTGCTGGGTCGTCGTGTACCCTGCATCGTTGCGCGTCGTTTTGGTGCCGTGGTAACGTTATCATGACACGCGGACTGAATGAACGGCCCGGCCGCAAAAGGGACATCGTTGTCTGGGATCCGTCCGTATTTCTGTTGCGTAGCTCGTTCCCGGCCCGCATACACAGGACAGCTTCCCCAGCGGCCGAACTGGTTACGGACAGACAGCGCCTTCTTCAGTTTGCACACACGTCACAGGCACACAGCCCCCAAGGCGGCAGCGACAACATCCACACGACTGTGACTACCTCTTCCCAACACTGCAGGACCATCACACCAAGGTAACAGTACCTGTAGTACCGAATGCCCATGAAGTGTGATGGTATCCCGAGGACCTAATGCCCCCAAAGTGCCCTCGTGGCGCCACGGGCGGGCACCCGATGTTCGCAACAGGCAGGCCCCAAGGTACAGCCGCCCCTGGCACTGACGTCAGACGCATCCGCCACACAACGTCGGCCCTAGCTGGCGGTCTGTGAACGAAGAGAGCCGAACCGCCTCGGCCCAGCAACGGCGCAAAGCCCTAAAGGGCCACAAGGGGCCCCGCGGCGGGGGTTCGTCGACACAGAAGAGCACGGCCGGCCGCCAATCGCCCTTGCGACAAGCCAGAGGATCGCAGCTCGGCATTGCGGCGGCGAATGCCTCTGGACTGCGGCGGAAGATCCCGATTGAGGGGAAGCGACCGCCGGGGGGGGCATGCCGGGTCGTCGGGGCGGATCCCTGGTTCGGAGGTGGTTGCGCTGGGCGCGCGCCACCAAGGAGGCGCTGCAGAGGGCCGCGTGCCTCAGGCCGGCCATCCGCGGTTCCGAGCGGTCGATCGTTTCCAGCGGGTCGAGCGGGTGCGTCGATTCGGACAGCGACGATGACGACAACCGCATGGAGGTGAATTCCGATGCGGGGGAGGCGGAGGAGGCGGTGCGGATGGTGCCCGTGGTGGACGGGAGGGTGCCGTCTCTGTTCGAAGTGTGCGCGCGGGCGATCGCGCAGGACAAGCGGCTGGTGGCGAGGCTGTACTACAACGCGCCGCTCGGGTAAGCCCCGCCTCGATCGGGCCGCCCGTTTCTTGCTGTCTGATTATTTGGGGCCCATCAGGCGGCCTGGGGGCGGCGGTTGGCCATCGGGGGGGATCGGAAGGGCGGCGGATGGCTGGGTGGAAGTTCGGGTTGAGCTCTGCGCGGCATGGGCCGGGCGTTTCCTTTCGGGTTCTCGGACAGGGATGGGGATTGGTGCGGCAGGCCCGCGGGCTGTCTGGGCACTGTTGGCTGCGGCTGCGGCCGCTGCGATCGCTGCGAAGGCGTGGGGACGCGGACGGGGCAGCGTGATCGGCTGATGGGGATTCGCCTCCTCGGTCGAGCGCGGATGGTAGGTCGATCCCGGCGGCGGCAGCGCTCCAGCGAGTGATGCCGGCGGTCGTTGGATTGCGAACGCGGCGGGGAGGGCCGGGTTTTTGATTCATCTTCCCGTCCCCTCCGCGTTCGTCACAATCGCAGAGGCGGGCTGTGGAGGGAGGACGAAGGGTGAGCGAGCTGTGACCCAATGGGTGGAATTGCCAGGGTTGGCGTTCGCTCTCCGTTCCGCGGGCCCGCGGCCGAGTGCGCTGGGGAGACGGATCGCCGCTCGCCGCTGCTGTGGGCGGTTTGCTCCTCGGCGTGGAACGCGCAAACGGTGATCCGAACGAACCTTGAGGACCCTGAGTCGATGGGGCCCCGGGCGGTGGCTTGCTTGCCGCGCCCCGTCCGTGCTGTCCGAGTGACGGCACTTCCATGCATCCATGCCCGCTTTGGGGACGGTCGCCGCGCTGAATTGGTATTCATGGCGCATTGTACGTTGTCGAGCTCCCTGGGATTCATTCCTATCCGTGGCCATCCAAGTTCAGCGTCCAGGTAGCTGTTATCGCCGTGGGCCTCGATCGTGTTGTCAGGAGAAAGAGCCGTGCTTGAGCTGTTGCTGAATCCACAGCAAAGTGGAACTGCATCCATATGATCCTGTCTAACACCCCGTCTATAAATAACGAGTGTATGCTGAGAGATACCGTTGCGAGGGCATTGTTTCTAGCTCTTTGAAAACCGCTGCCAGGTTGGTACTCATCAGCCAATTAGAAAAAGGTGTTGATCTTGTGCATGCGATCGGGCGAACTTTGAAGAACTGCCAGGGGCGAGAACATTGCAAAGCACTTTTCAAATGGTGCAACTTGCAGTGCAGAATTGAAGGTTTCTTGGGTTACTTGTTTGCACCTGGTTTGCTGTGGACTCAAACATTCATCGGCTGCAGTGTCACACTGGGGCGCTATGGGATGCCTGTGTTTCTGCTGAAATTGTGAAGTTTTGTCGTGGCACTTAAACTTGTCCTGACAGAAGGAACACTGGGTGCCACAGCGCTAATGCACTGGACCAAACATTTTTGTGCGTGGTTCCAGGATCGAATACCTGTGGGAAGTTGTGAAGGAAGCCCAAGAGCGCCAGGAAGAGTTCACCAGGACCAATTGCACCCTGAATATGAGGGGTTGCAGGGATAGCCACAGTGTGCTGGGACGGACTGTGGGGAGGAGAATGAGCAAATGTGACAGGTGGGTTTGAAGTGTCAGGGAAGCTGAAATTGCATCGTCTTTGAGTCCTTTGCCACTGCGGTTCAGCAAACATCCTGCTGCTTGTGTTGTTTGATTTTGCTATGGCTTGTTGTGGTGATGATGTGCAGCTGTGTCATGTATCATTGTGGTGCACACCAGTGTCATGTCCCAGTCTTTTACATGGCAGGGTCCCCAACTGGGCTGTTTCCTCCCCAACCCACAATAAAGAGATCAAAGGCGAGCAGCCTACACATGGATGGGCATCAGATTCCAATTATATGCACCCATGTTGTGTAGTTCCAAATCAATGCTCAAGCCCAGTTTCTTCATTTTTGCGATTGATTGACCCATAGTTGCATGATGCCATATTGCGCATTACAACTCCTTTTCAGTGTGCGATGATTCTCAGTGCACACTGCTGATACTCATTGTGTCATGATATTGGAAAGTGAGGTGCAAGAGCTTTGTTTCTCATGTTGTTCGCTCAAGCTGCAATCCATGGAATTTCCAGTGTTGACCTATCACCACCATGCAAGCATTTGAGGAGGAATGGGGGGACACCCATTCGGCCATGCTACTGTGGAATCGATGGGAATTCGTCACATCAGCACATTTTCCATTTCAGATCCCCTATCACTCTCTGTATCCCACAGAAAAGCAGAAAAGAGATGACTCTATGGCACTTTGGACAGAGCTGGGTGGGTATGTTCTTGTGAATCAAGGCCAGCTGTACTCAACCTGCTCGTTCTTTGCCTTTTGTCCATCAGGCTGGTGTCCCTCATCCTGGACGATTGTACTGGCTTGACGGACAACGTGCTGCATGGGGTTGCCATCCCACGTGGCAAGGTGGGTCTCCCACACCTCGAGCGTCTGTCTGTGGCTGGCTGCCCACTGATGACAGACAACTCGCTGGAGCACGTCATACGGATCTACGGGCCAAGGCTGAAGGTGGTGCGATTGTCCAACAGTGGCGCAACTCAGCGGTGCGTCAAGGCGCTGGCACGATACTCCACGAACCTGGAGGTGAGCGGACGGCAGGTTCCCACACATAGGCCTGCCAGTGCGTGGATGGATTGTCAAGAGATTGAACTGCGATTTTGCCAGGGCGTTGGATTCCAGCGAAGTATGTTTGTTGCTCTGTGTGTAGGATGTGCAGTTGCTGTACTTGTGCTAACGTGGAGTTGCTTTTACCATTCTTTGAGCTGATGCTGACATTTCCTGTATACATTAATCAATTGTCCATAGGCGAATCTTTGTGTGGCCTTGTGAGCATCATGAACTCCACATCATACCTGGGGCGATCCTGTCATGGATAGATTTTTGCTGTTAAACAAGACCAAGTTTATTCTGCACAGTGGCATTTGTCAGAGACAGCAAAAGGAGGAACAACAGTTTTTTGTTCATGGCTACATGTGTGAGAAGCTTTGCCAGGGCACCAGGCCTCACATTCGCATGCTGTGTTGTCTCACAAAAGGGAACTAGTATTGTCTGGATAACTGCTGCTGGCCTGAACTCATGCTGCTGCTACTGACATCCTTGGCAACGATTTGATGTGTTTTGTTGTTACTGTGCCTCTCACAACATCCAGCTCCTTCCCACAGCTGCCACACTCACGTATCACAGTCCTGCGGCTTATTCATGCTTTCGGTTGATCAAAGGTGGCAGCATTTTCGCATCAGCTGCACGTCAGGGACAAGCACATGCTTCAGCTGGTGATGGGCTGCCCTCGCTTGAAGCAGATCGAGGCTTCATATTGCAGCTTGATCACGGATGTCTCTGTCATGGCCATTGCCAAGAACCTGTGGGCTCTGGAGGTATGTGGATGCGCACCCATCGCATCATATTATTTGATGCATTATTATCGCATCATATTATTTGATTTGGCCCTCAGGAAGGGTGGCACAGATGCTCTCAGGCAGCAGGAATCAGCACAGTGGCAAACTTCTGGCTCCTATCTTGTGTAAGACAGCATACCAAGAAACTGAATGCCCCATCAAAGTTGCACAAGGATGGACTTGTTTTCCCTTGTGGCTGATATAAATGTGATGGTGGCACAATACCTGTATGCGATCTGTGCATGAAACTTGTAAACACAGAGAGCTGAGCAACAACCCAAGCACACAAGTGGAGCAGGAAACAACGGATTGAGGCGATTTGGACTGCAAACAGAGGAAACAACAGTTGGCCTGTGTCCCAGGTACTTGGGATGGTTTGCAAGTGTGAACATCAGCAGGAATATGTGCATCACAACAACTGCGATGAAGATTCTGCTGCTTCTTTTTGGTACTGGAAAAGATTGCTGGAGCTATGCATGCATAGTGGCACTTGTGGACAGCATGGTGCCAGTGTAGTGTCGCAAACAGGATTTGTATGCACTGCACTCTTGCTACGGGAATGGGATTTTCTCCATTTCAGCTTCCAGTTCTCACTGCTGTCTGCATTCACATGGCAACAGACTTTGGACCTTTCGTATTGTGATCAAGTCGGGCCATCGATTGAGAGTCTGCAGCAATGCAAGTTCTTGCAGGGCTTGCGACTGCAGGTGGGTGGTGTGCTGCAGCGCAGCTGGGAAGATGACTTGGGAATATGCGGAGAGTTGGTGCCATTATGGTTGCCTCCCATACATGTTCTTTTTGAATGCAGCATCAGCAACTTTGCACAAAGTTTGCCTTTGTTGGGCAAGGACTCCAAACGATATTTCATCAGCAAAACTGTTAGCCTCTAGGTCTTGCCAGATACAGCATGCTTATGTCAACAGCACATCCATCCTGATTACTTCAGAGTGGAAACCATGCAGCCATACAAAGATGTGGTGGCTGCAAGAATTCCAGTGTGCCATTTCGTGGCAGAACCCTGTGTCCAAGACTCAGTCCAGTGGGGTCTGTACTTCTCGCATGGAGCCCTGTCGACAATTCGTTTATTTGTGTTGCAGCCAGCTGTGGTTTCGTGCAAATATATGTGAAGCTCAGATCGTTGAAGATTCGCAGCCATCTTAGTTTTGGCTGCGACGATATCTATACCTCTGCCATTAGTCATCCCACACAGGCCCGCTGATGTCATGTTTAGTTGTCAGTGTAGTGGACGGTGCTGCTCATGACTGCCTGAAACTTCCATGGCACTCAGACGCTACTAGAGCACCATTTTAGCATCCTGGAGGGGTGCCAGACCCTTGGCACATGGGACCTTTTCTTGGCCCTGTGCTTTGCACGCCAAAACACTATGGGCGTCCGTTGTGGTGTCATACAAACCTGTTTTATGTGTATGTGTGTTGGGATCCACACAGTCTCCACCTCGAAGCATCCTTGTGTCACAGGTATATTTTGCGTTTTGGCTCCCTCAGAAGACAACACAGCTGTGGTTGATGTTAGTGTGCACTGACAGCCGCCATGTTTTGTGCAGCGTTTGTCTTTTTACTTCCTCTGGGGCAGGTTCAGTGCCGAGATGTCCGTGTCGCAGATCTGTGTGTGTGCTCTGTGCCCTCTCAGAATTGCCCAAGGGTCACTGACAGCATCTTGAAGCCCGTGCTTCAGTGGTGCTCCCTGCTGGAGGTGCTGTGCGTGCGGAGCTGCCCCCTTGTGGGCATGGCCACCATTGACAACATCTCCTCGCACTGCGGCTCCCTGAGGGCTCTGGACATCATGGGCGTGAGTGCCGACGGCAACAAGGCACTGGCGGTTCTGGCGAAGAGTGACGCCGTTCGGCACACGCTTAAGGTAAAACTTGTGGGAGGGGATGTAACTGTGGTCCAGACAGTACATTCATTGCTGATATCCGCTCCTGAGTAAAGGATACAGTAAATCCGCTCCAGAGTAAAGGATACAATTGGAGAATACAATATCCATAATAACCATGAATGATCCAGAGCTAGAACAACGTGATCCACAAATGGAAAATGATCACAGTGCTGGTCCCGTTTTGACTAGTGCTGTGTTTCCATCAATCATCACAAAGGAGAGAAATGGGGAAAGAAGCAAATGAGAGGATAGGGAAATTTGAGTAGAATACAGAGTTTGGAAAGGGGAAGAAAGTATTTTGCTGTGCTACTTGTACCCGGTTTTTGTAATGCAATACGGTTTGAATACGGACCAGAAGCTGTGAAGAATACCGATTTTCTGCTGGGACAATGATGCTGAGCGAACTACTTGACTGTTGCTGTCTCTGGAGCAGAGTCCGAAACGACAGCAAATTTGGAGGAAGATGTCGTACGCATCATTGGCAGTGCAAGTGCACTCTGGCTAGATTGTGACAACATTGCCAGTCCTGTGGCATGCAAGAGAGAATTTCCATCTCTCATGCATATGTGGAACAGCAGGCCACCACCCCAACCCTACCTAATGCAGAGAAGCGTGTCGCTCCCTCTGCCATACACCTTTCATGTTATGTCCTGCAGTATACTGGATGCTGTTGTGCATGAGTGCAGCATTTAATGTTGATGGCAATGGCGTTCCTCAGTATTCTGGTCTGTACATCACGTGCAAGCACACAGCACTGTGCTCGCCGGCCTTCCAAAACTGCTATTGATGCCACTGTGACTCTGGCCGCCTGCCATAGTTTTGGTGCTGTTGGCAAGAAAATGCTTGTGGCTATGCCAGGAATTTTGTTCGACACAACGAGTGGTTTTGCGAATGACGTCCTACATTTGGGAGCTTTTTGTACCACAATAGAGAGCTGTGAAGTTGATTCATATTGAAGTTGTTTGGGCGGGTCGTGCTGCCGTCGCGCAGCGAAGGAGCCTGGGTGATGCGACTGGGCCTAATTTGGCGCCAAGAGCTCACGTTGGCAGGGAAGGAGCACCCGAGGGAATAATAGTGTATTTGTGCCAACATTCGTGTACTTGTATTCATCGAAGGTCATAGCTAAATTCTGGGGTTTGATTTTAGAAGGATTAGCCTGGATTGGCCTTGGGGTTGGAACAACCAGCCCTCCGTTTGACGGGTCTTCAATTAAACGATAATGATGAGTAAGGCATGGTGCATTGGGACCGCCGGTTCACACCGGCGCAGTGAATGCAAAGTGTGTTAACGCATGGAGCTTAGCGGAAGGCGTTCGAGGGGAAGGACCCCTAGTGATTAGCATGTTAAGTCATGATCACGTGCAATGAATTCTTCAACGTCGCGGCTCATCATCGGCTGTTGCTATCTCTAGCCGTCGCGGCGTCGTTAAATTTGCCACACCTGTCGTTTTCTCTGATGGGGGTGCCTGAGTGGAGGCCAGTTTGTGTTCGGCCTGTATAGACTGTCACTGAGTCCAGTGACACGCATTTGTTAACGGGACGTCTGTAATGTTGTTGCCACGTGAGTTGCTGCGTGTTTTGTGCACCCATTGATCCAATGGCAGTGCCGGCGATGGAGTTTGGCATGCGTCCATGGACAGATGCTGACGTAAGGTCATTGCACTGTGGCGCATCTTCAGCAGAGGATGCTGTTTGACGCCTGTTGGGTACAGTGCAGAAATAAGAGGCGCGGAGGGCTGTCCCATCATAGACTGCCTTCTCTGCGTACATGCGGTGTTGGTGCCAGGTTGGCATCACTGGTGACACATGGTGGTGTACACTTGTGCCGATCGCTGCTGTGCGTCCAGCAACGGTGGGTGAAAGTGCTGAACATGCCGTGGAAAAACTTGTGGCGCTTTCGTAGCTTCTCACTTGATCGTGTCTAGCCTTCTGGAAAGCCGATGTTTTATTGATTTATTTGGAGGAAATTTCTGTTAGGGAATTTTGAGAAAACCCCCGACATTTAGTTGTTTTTCGAGCAAAACGATCCATGAGTTCTGAGATACTCCGGGCCAGCACATGCTGTGCTGAGCAGAAACTTATCACCCTTTGAGACAGTGGCACGTTTGCCCAGTGCTTTTGCGGCACAGGTCAGCATTTGGTGCATAACCATCTGTTGCATTGGGCTACGAAGGCGCTTTAGCGATCCAAATCAACAAGCACCCTGTGTGCTGGGGTGCCACCAGCTGTCACCATCTGGCGAGGCGAGCGGACTGAAAGGGGGGTCGATTCTCGTGGTGTGAAATGTGGGAGAAGGGGGAAATTGCGTTGTGGGGGGATGTCCGGGAATTGAACCCGGGACCTCTCGCACCCGAAGCGAGAATCATACCACTAGACCAACATCCCGCATGGATGTTCTTGGCGTGTACATATAATATTTAACAACATTGGTCTACAGGGATCTGCTTCTCTGGACGGGCCCCTCACAGCTTGCGTGTGCAGTTTACCATCACTTATGCATTTCGGATATGCGTTGAGCAAAAAATCACAAGGGGTGCTCTGTCTTCGTCGCAATCTTACGTGAAACCTCGAAAGTGCTCTCAAATATTCAATCCTCGAGCTTGTATTCCAGATGACTATGTACCCATGTCAGCTTGGGTCAACTTCCGCTCCGATCTTTAGCGAGTCCTTCATTGCAGCCTCCGACTTCAGCAATTTCAGAGAGCTTCTCACCAAATCGGGCTATCGATTCATCTATGTTGGAGGCAACGATTTCTTCACCGGAAGTTGACCAAGCAATTTCACAATTAAAGCGAGGCACTGCCCCAGGCAATGGCAATTTACCTTCAACCCTCCCTTGTCAGCGTGGATGCTCTACAACCAGTGCTTACTGCATTCTTTTAACTTTTATGGGCCCTGAAGGCATTCCCAACAGGCTGGCTTTCTGGAATCCCGAGACTGATTTACAAGAAAAAGTTGAACAGACCAACCCTGAATTTTATCGACCAATCATGCTGACATGCTGCCTCTACAAACTTTGGCGCACATTCCTCTTGGAAGATTGAAACAAGTGGATTCACATTGTTCATCACGATCTGATCTTCAGGCTGGATTCAGATCGAACTTCTCTCCATGTGATCACATTTTTGCTCTCTGGCTGCTAACTGAATTTCATTGTGCACGCAAGCAACATATTTCTATCTTTGGATGGATTTCCGCAGACCCGCGATTCAGTCAACCACCAACGATTATGGAAATTCTGGATTGCTTTGGGATTCCCAAAAATCACATAGACATGTGGAAATCGTTATATGGAGGAGCATCTTATTCAATTCAAGCTTCGCAGGGCCACTCATCATTAATCTCTATGGGGAAGGGTGTCATGCAAGGATGCCCTGCTAGCCCTTTGCTCTACACCTTGTTTTAATAACCGCTCCAACAACTCTTTGGACAAAACCTTCAATCTCCAATGATGGCTCAGATCCCTATCATCACTTTGATGTCTGCTGATGATACTTGTGTACCCGTGGCGTCTTGGAATGAAATGAGGACACTGGACAAGCACTTCAGATTTTACAGGTTTGGGAATCTCTTACTGGAATTGGACCAAATTCCTCAAAGACCCGAATTATGGCCTGTTTTTTACTACGACCCCTGATAAGTATAGGTTTGATAATTGGGACATTTCATCACAAAAGAGCATGCCTACTTCGGCATTGGGATTTCTTCTGGATGTCGAATCATTTTTCAATCACACCTTGATACAATTTAGGGAAGGGCACGCCGAGCCCAAGGATTAATTCTTCAAAGGTTACGTGTTCTTTGCATCACCGATCCCAAAATTGCATACAAACAATTCAAAACACATGTTCTGGGATCAGTTGGATACGCCTGTCCTATCTGGGGTCCTTTTCTCACGAAGACTCAACGAATTCAGTTGAAGAAAGTCCAGACTCAATTCTTGCACCAAGTTCTTTGTTCCTGGCCATACACTCTTGGAATGTATAAATTTCCCAAGTAGCTGATGATTTGTCGAAATGCACCTCTTGCCTCCCAAGTCCTGCTAAATGCTGTACTGCCTTTTCTTAGACTCACAGTTCAACTGAGGCCACACCAGTTGACGTACAGTCCTTTCAACGGATCTACAAACACGTCCACATTGCCAGTGCCTTCTCCAATCAATCTTCAAGGATCCAGCGATGGTACAAACGCTTCAAGCGAGTCTATTGATATGAACGGTTCCTATCGTCATTACAGCCCCTCTCCTTGAGGACGCTTTTCCTGCGATTTTTCTGTGGAGTACATTTTCTGGAAGTCGAGACACAATGACACCAGACACGACAGTCCATTCCAGAATTTTCAAGGCGATTGTGTCCTTTATGTCACTTGCCAAGTGCCAATGGCTCCAGAAGACGAGATTCATTTTGTCTTACACTGCCAGGCCTATGGTATAATCCGTCGAAGCCACTCTTGTATTTGTCGATGGCGCAATGCAAAAACACTTTTTGCTTTGGTTCCCGCTCGTCAGCTGGCGGAGACACTTCATTTGATGTATTATCATCGACAATCGCTCTTAGACATCAGGAGTTAATAGACCCATAGACTTTGTTTACGTGTTACATTAGATTCCAACGACTTGACCACATACTCTGCTTTGACAATGTGCGCATGATGTCAGTAGCATAGTCCCTTCTTCCCTAATTGCATCACTGCCGAACGTTCAGCTTTAACGTTTGTTCCCATTTGACCCTGACTAGTCTATGGTGTGTTGATGCCCAGTGTTCCGCTATATGTCAGACGTATGCAACTCAACGAGTTGAGCAAACGTGAGTTCACAATATTGAAGCATCGGCAACTTCCGTGCTATTTGGCGTACACTAGAGACCGCCCGGTACAGCTGGAAATGCGTCCATAGCAGATGGAGGTCTGTTCGATGCCTGTCCTTTTTCGATATGAACGTCAAGAAGAGCGCCATTGTGTGGGCTGCGACGGTGGTTTGAATCGGCAGCTACTTGGAAATGGCCATGCCCGGCCCCGGCCTTGGTTTCTAGCCAACCAGTTCCCTGTGTCGGCCCAAGTCCACGGCATTCAAACGAGGGCCGTCAACTGTTTCGCGCTCTTGGACGTTGGCGGCTGTACGGGGACTGATACGTCGAGGCTGTTCAGGCCACAAAGCGCAAAGATGACGTGTGAAACGGGCCATTTGCAGCAAATCGAAGAAGCCCTCCCTTGGTCCCCGCTCCGTCTTGTCTCGCGCCCGCCCTACCTGCCCAATAAAAGTAAAGCACTGGATTGGGTTGGCCTGATTCAGGATTGACAGTCGCGCATTAGGTAAGGCGTGAACTTACGCGAAGCGAAAGGGCACGTTTGGAGCAATGGGTACACGGTTGCGTGGGAATGGGTACCACAGATCACGGAGGATAGTGTCCCCCCGGGGGCCCCGCGTTCCACATCAGGGCTGACGTC